TTTTCTCCGATGATGGAACCGAGTGTGCTTCCGAAACGTCGCTCCAAATACACTTCATCCCTTCTTCTTCGTTTTCTTTGGATTATGATTAAAACGATACGATATGGGGACCTCAGATCTTCACGCAAGTGTAAATATACTATTAGGCTGGATGTACTACAGACAAAAATTAGTAATTATTTCGAAATTTTCATACGCTTTTAGTGCCTTGTAGAGTAGTTGAAATCTCAGAAATTACAGTTTGCCTTGTGCTATTTAGATTGCCCTATGAGCATCAAAGAATCTGGTGAAAAGTTCCACTCTAGACAAAAAGGCCCGTTGAAATATTAATTATTGTGACAAATGGTCGTGACGACAATTACATATTATGTCACTTTAAGTGACAGCACAAGATACGTATATACATGGTTTGAACTGGTTCGTCTGCTGGAAACCATGTTAGTTTATTCGTTTATAGCTTTCATAGTAATCTGAAGCATGATAGTCGAACCAGTTACTCCCACAAATTTCTTCCTGATGAGACATAAAAGACACACGGACTATGGTGACTTCCGTTTAATCAATAAAACCTCTCCGTAATTCGCTATTCTTCCTGCAGATCTGGTGTTTAGGGCTTTTCAAGCATTATAATTACATACTTCTTCTATTTACCTCTACTTCGACCGCGAACTGATAAATTGGATATCAAACGGCTGGATGATGAAAAAATATGATGCAGCTAGCCTTGAATATCGCATGCTTCTAAGTAAGTTGATCTACTAACTTTTCACATCAACAAACTTTTAGATTTCTCGTGATAGCGCAAGCGAAACTGAGGTCCTTAAGACGGAGCACATGATGCGTATTTATTTGCTTTGAACTGGTTCGTTTGCTGGAGACCATGTTAGTTTATTCGTCTACAGCTTACATAGTACTCTGAAGCACGATGACTGACCTTTTCCTCCTAAAAATTTCTTCCTGATGAGACACAAAATACACACGGGCTGTGGTGACTTCCGTTTAATCAATAAAAGCTCTCCGCAATGTTCTATGCTTCCTGAAGATCTGGTGTTCAAGGCTTCTCAAACATAGTGAATCTATACTTATTCTATCCATCCCTACTTCATACACGAACTGATGAAGTGGACATCAAAATAGCTGCATGATAGAAAAAACTACGATGCGGCTGGCCTTGAATATTACGTGCTTCTGAATAAGTTGATCTAGCACCTTTTCACATCAACTGACTTTTGGATTTCCCGTGATAGCGCTAGCGAAACTGAGGTCCACTGACCGCCAAAAAAGTGGTTCTCCAATAAAATTCCAGGATGTGTCGTCATCCTTAAAGCCCGGATAAAGATGTCGCTGTTGCATGATTTAGGTAAGCTTTGAGCTACTGTCTTTTGTGATTGAAGAGGAAGAAAAAGCTTCGTTATTTGCTCATCCAACCAACTAAAAATTCGAATAACTTGGGATCGTATACGACAGAATATAGACGACTTTATTTCATATAATAATACTTTTGTATTTGTTTTGAGGTGTATGAATGAATTTCGTAATCGAAAATATTATCTGTAAAGGATCGGTATTTCCTATTCGAAAAAAATTAGACTCTGGTTTGTTTAGCGGACCCCTTTTTAACAACCGCCATAGACACAGGGAAGGGTTAGATTGTTTCGTAACTTCTTCCTCCATTATATAGGGAATTTGAAGAAATAGAAAGCCTCCTGCCCACGCTAGAATTATAAAGACTACGTTATTTCAGCATGGAAGTTTCATTCATAACCGCACCAGCCAAAATTCCCACATAAGTGGTCTTTAAAAGGTCAACCTGCACCACCACACGTCAGAGCACCCAGATTCTTTGGGCAAATCCGAGGGACCAAAGCCAATTGCGTGAAATACTTGAGAAAACCAGACACTGACGTCTTACCGTTTTTTCCCAGTAGGCAAAAACAAATATTACGAATGTAACGTTTGTAGATGAATACACATCTGTTACCTCGAGCTGACAACTGTCCAGCTGTACAGCACTGTACACAGCTTGGGCGAATTCATTTACAGAATATGAGCTAACCCAAACAACCTAACGGCTAACATGGTCTGCTCTCATTTAAGGCAATCTAAGCCCCGATGTCCGCCATTGAGTATTTCCCCCAGGAGATAGGCTTAATAGAGTTGTCAAAGTTGTCAGCTCCAGCCATTCTCGCTTCAACCCCGACGCCTTAAATTTGCCGAGTGTAATTATTTGGTAAATTGGCATTGTAGTTATTTTGCTGTGTTCTCAAACAAGAAGTTAACCCTGTGCAGGCTATTTTAGCGGAGTCGGTCATCATAACGCAATTGCCACCTTTTGGGTCGACGCACAAAAATGCTCAAATTCAGACGTGTATCACTTTCGTAAATTTATTTTAAGAACTACAGTGTACATTGGAATGCAAATTTATCAAACACCTCTTCACATTTCATGCGAAAAACTCAACAGTTGGATAGTGATACATATGATTTTGCGCCATAATGCTAATCCAGTGAGTGATGGATGTTGACTGAATTCTGTCCAATCCCAATGGTTCTCGCATTTTAAAAAAGACAATTAAAAATTACGAATCACGAACAGTTTTTGTAATATGAACAAAATCGTTTGGAAGTCAGTTAAAAGCAATGTGTTCACATATGTTGGAAAATGTGGTGAAGGAGGGCGAGGAGAGCCAAGCAAAGAGGCGTCATTTCATTCCCTAAGAACAAAAAAAGTTTTGCTAAGAATTCATAAGTATGCGTATCATATTAAACTAGATTCCTCTTTATCAGCAAGCATTTTCTAAGCATATTCTAATCTTATTTGCACTTATTTACGTGCTTAATAAACACTAAATGATAGTTTAAAGCAAATAATAACGTGTTATTAGAATGACAGCATATCATCTTACCTCTTTTTCCCATGTTAGTAGCGTTGGGATCCAATCCTTTGGCACATCGGTCAAATCTTTCGATGTCAGCTAACGATGGCAATTGTTTTAAGAAGGTTGCCACCCAGCGCGCTTCTCCGTCTATTTTATTGGGTTTGTCTAGCCCCCGTAGCATGCAGACAAGTGGATAGACGTCAACTTGATAAAACCTATCCACTAGGCCAATCTGTCTTATGTCGGGGCCCGCGGTGACGATAAAGGGATGCATGTCAGATTCCAAGTGGTTGTATCCGTACATTCCGTCTGTATACAAAAAATGACTCTCTTAAGTATACGCTTACATGGCTAACACAAACTATTACTTCAAAATTAGCTATAGAGGGAGTAACTCACTCAATGTGTTTGTGTACGGTATTGTTTGGATCATCCAGCCCAAATCAGCGATGACAACGATTGGAGCTATGCGGGGATTGTTTTTGTAGTGGTATGACTCTGGAATTTTTTCTTTCTTGTGGGAGGTTGCCTTTAAGTCTTTGGTAGATCTCTTCAATAGTTGCTGAAATGGATAATCCAAAAGGTTTCTTAGGAGTTCATCAAAATAAACGTATGTTTTAAATTTGCGAAAATTCCCTCTAAACATTTCAGAAGATAAATTGGCGAATATGCGCTTGTTTCGATAAACTTTCGTCAGGCATTTATACTTATATGGTATTTAAATAAACAAACTATGCAAGTTAGTCGAAAAATTAGCGCGGTTGTCAGGAGAGGTGGGTGGGGGCGGAATCGGCGTCAAACAAATCTGATCAGCGTTAAGGGGACTTGTGGTATATTTACTGGTATTTTATCTATTTAATTACTAAATTGATGTAAGGAACGGACGAATACCTATCGAAAACAAACATATACTCACCTATTTGCAAATAGGTAGTCAGATACTGTCATCAAACATGTTTACTTACGCTTATTAGCATCATTTGGGCATATTCAAAGGTTATCAGGCGATCAATCGACTCCAAATCTGTACTCTGTAGGGCTAAGCAATGCGCTAACGTTGACGACCCTCTTGTAACTAACAGCATTCATTCCATGGTCACTTGTTACAATTACGTTGGGCTTTTCGCCCTGAAAGTCTGCTTGTTCGATTCTCTGCAGTAGGTAGGCAATACCGTCATTTGTTAGCTCGATTGCATCGAGGACCTCCTTGGAATCTGGTTCATATTTGTGACCAGCTGAGTCTGGCTGATTGAAGTAGAGCATGCAGAAGTTAACGTCCGGTTGGGTTATCCACTCCATTATTCTGTCCACTCTGAAGCGTAGAGTTGGGGCATTACTGTAGAGTCCAAATGACACGTATTGTATGGTGTCATTGTAACGAGCTTCACTGCCAGGCCAGTAGATCATTCCAGTCTTCCCACCGTGACGCTGATTGGTTAGCAAAATGGGCTCATTTCCATTCTGTGTAAACCACTGTGGCTGCATGTTCTTCTCCGAGTCCTTATAGACATAGGAGTCGTTGAGAGCTTTATCGTGGAAGGTGTTTCCCACTAAACCATGTGTCTCAACATTTCTTCCAGTAGCCAGAGAAAATGTGAAGGGAATGTTAACGAAATCATGACATTTTGGACCTCCTTCGCCCGGAATCCTTCCTCGGTCAGCTTCAACCCTAATAGAAAAAATCTTTCAATCGTAACTCGATTTTATCGTTGTTTTTCGTTGACTATCATTGACTTGCTTCTAAGAATTTGATTGGCTGACAGATGACTCGATCACGCGTTGCTAATTTACGGCAGTACCTCTCGCCAAGGTATCGGAAAATCGATAGCGTTATGCGATAAGCGGCCGGTGCGCCGGTGGGCACCTCATTTGGCGCATTTTCACACTGGCAAGCGGTCGCAAGTCTGAGTCTACCTTGCTGTTGGCCTGAATTGTGTACGTTTTGTTCGAGGACAACCCGATATCGACGCAGAAGGCAGGCGCTTCTGGAAGATCTAGGCGAAATTATGGAGCATTATGATGAAGTTTTCGCGTCCGACACATCGTCATCAACCTCGGGGCTAACTTCGTCCTCCTCTTTCTCTGGATCTGAATCGGACTCCTTGATGTGGACTGATATTGAAGAACCGAGTTGCAGTCCTGCCCTAGTGGATATTGACAACGGAAAAGCTGGCGAATCTTCCAGTTTGCCTCCGAAAGCAGAGGAGGCAAGTCTGGTAGAAGCCCTCCGATTGTAGGCAGTCGAATCCAGCACGCCTCATGTGCACCTCACTAGTTTTCTGAAGATTTTGACACGTGTCTGTCCGGACCTACCTGCAAATGCACGGACGTTGCTGAAGGAAGAC